GGGGCGGGGAGGGGACACTGGGGGGGAGGGGGCCGGGACCTGGACAGACACACGCGTGGGGCTTCAGAAAGTTCACGGAAAGTGCGCATGGTGAAAGAAACTATGCCTGGACTTCAGATTTTTTTTTGAACCAAAATATTAATGAATTCCTGCCTTTCCCCTCTTGGTAACTTGCCAGAGAGTGAGAACGTCAGAAAGCATCCCACCCTGGGCCAGCAGGCGGCGTGGTGGCTAAGGTACTGGTTCCAGTCCCAGACCTGGTGGCTTGCTTTCTCACTTTCTCTTTCTCAAGCTGTCTCTCGCTAGTCACAGCAAAATTGAAAAATGATACCAAATAAGATGGAATGATTTTCTAAGGAAAAAACGAAAAGGAAAGCAGCCCCTATCACACCCCATGAGGGCACGGTTACGCTGCAGTCCCTTCCCCATCTCTCCCCTCTCAGGATTTTGGGCACGCGTGCACACGTTTGGTGTGTTTTCCAAGTTGCTGGCCATGGGACTCGAACTGTGCAGTCGGTCGGATGGGCTGACCCAAATACTTTTTTTTAAGTTCATTTTTATTCCGTGAGTGAAAGAGATGCTGACACCCCCTGCCGAGCCAGCCCAGGTTAGAGGCGTGCACATGCCCGGTATCAGGGAGTCTCTGGACGTCTCTGGACTGGAGCCAGCGGTCGCCCTTGGGGGTCTGCCCCACAGGGGCCTCTCAGTGCTTGCCCTGTCTGGCCCTCAACTAGTATTGTAATCCATATTTTCCACACATTTTTTGAAGTCCCCGCATGGAAACCAGGAGACAGGCTGAGAAGGCAGACGGGAGGAGGCAGAGAGACCCTCCCTGTGAGGGAGACAGGAGAGGCCGTGATGGAGGGTTGTGGGGAGCACTTGGTCGCCAGGTGGCTCGCTTGGTCTTCTGCAGATCCGGGCCATGTGAGTGTGTGGGGCCGGGGCTGGTGACGTCCAGGTGCAGCCCAGGGTGGCCATCACATCCCTGGGAGTGTCTCGGAGAGCTCCGAGGTGCTCCCCTTCCTGTCCCAGTGCCAGAACCCCAGAGAAGGCAGCATGTCCTCTGGGTGGCACAGGCCGAGTGAGGGGCCCACAGCCCCGCCGTTGTAGTCACAGCCCTGGGTCCCCTGGCCCTCGGCACGGAGGAGCTTCGGAGAGCCTCACGCAGTGCCGGGTGGCCTGGTGAGAGGATAGGACTGAGCTGGGGCTGGGGCCATGGGGCGGGGTGGCCAGGCCCCTGTTTGGAAGACACTGGGCCCATTGGAATGACCACCTTGAGTCCCTTAGGTGACCGCCCCGTCCCTGAGCTGCCCGGCACCGCGAGGGCCGGGAGCAGGCCAGCTACAGTGTCAGGGCCTGTGCAAGTGAGTGTGGGGCCCTTTGTCCCACCATCACGAGTCCAAGATGACGACCCAGCGTGTTAGACTGGGTGCGGCCCGAGAGCAGGGCCTGCCGGGGAGGACGGCCATCCTGCAGGGCTTGTGCCGGCCTTCATGGCACTTCAGGGCTGCAGGGAGAGCTGCAGCCAGAGGCCCGGGCCTGCTGCAGGCTGGGCGCTGTCCTCCTCTAACAGCATTCACGAGCTCATTCCCAGCGAGCAGGAGGGCTAGGGGGGGCCACGCTCAGCCAAGGCCATGCCACTCAGGGAGTCTCAGAAGGTCCAGCAGGGACTCTTGACTATACCACACCCTGTCCATGGTGAGCCTCTCACCCAGGTGAGGTATGGCCAGAGGCAGAAGTGACTTGTGGGTAGAGGCCGGAGTCCAGGAAGGCTTCCCGGGGGAGGCCGGACTTGAGTGGAAGGATGACTGAGTGGAAGATGGAGAAGTAGTGCTGAGGGTGGAGGGCTTCCCAGGCGAGGGGACCAGCAGAAGCCAGGAAGGCCTGGCAGGGAAGGGGAACCACAGCAAAGGGGCCTTGAGAAGGAGAAGGAGAACGTGGTGTGGGGCCCAGAGACCCCTGAGCTCGGGCGGGGCCGCCTCCTCAGGGCCTGGAGGTCATCAAGCAGCAGCAGCGGGAGCCTCGCGGCCTTCCGGTGTCCAAGCTGACCCACAAGGGCGAGGTCGAGATCCTGCGGGACGCCGACCAGACGCTCACCCTGGAGGACCTGGTGGTAAGTGGCGGCCTGAGCTGGGCTGGCAGGACCCTGGCTCCCACCCTCGCCTCGCTTTGCATGAGACCCTCGGCTGCTCCAAGGCCTGCCCTGTTCACGAACAGGGTCCCAGGGGGTCACAGCCAGGGTGCTCCTGCGTGGGCCTGTGGGTGCTGCCTCAGTGCTGGCCTGTGCGCCTGACCCCCAGGTGCCCCGGGGTGGTACCAAGTCCCACCTCCACGGGCACCCCAGCCCCAGACCTTCTGCTCAGCACTGTGCCTGGGAGCGGGAGGGCAGCTCTGAGCCAGGCAGTTTGGTCGGACGGGAGGAACAGAGGCCCCTCTGTCTGCAGGGCCTTGTCGGCCTTGTGCCTCACACTGCTCTGGAGGTGCTCAGAGCACAAGGCTCGGGGTTCGCACGCTGAGCTTTCCTGAAGCAGTATGGCCGCGTTTAAAGCCATCTCCGTTAGAGCGGAGAGTGATCAGGAACGGACGTGAAGGGTCACGAAAACGTCCATTCGCCATGATCTGCTGACTGCTGCTGAGAGCTCGCCCTAATGACACAATTTAGGAAACTACTTCCTTCTTTTCTTCTCTCTTTTTTTTCTTCCAATTTATCAGAAGGTGCATGCACTTGCCAGAAAAAGAGAGAGAAAAAGAGAAAGAGAGAAAGCATCCCCAGTGGGGCGTGGTCATGCTGCAATGCTTCTCCCTTTTTCCATCCTGCCAGGACGTGGGGCATGCACACATACGTCCCCAATGTGTTTTGTTTGTTGTTGTTACTGTTTTAGAGAGATTTTTGCTGTAGGGCATGTGCACTCACCAGAAAGATAGAGAGAGACAGAGAGACAGAAAGTGAGACATCACCCCCCAGGGGGGATGGTCACGCCACAATCCCTTCTCCATCCTCTTGGGATTTTGGGCACGCACGCACATGCCCGGTATAAGCTTTAAGCTACTGGGTCCAGGACTCAAACCATGGTCGACCACGTGGGAGGCCAGCAGTGTGACCATTACACATCTTCTGGTCCTGCTGATGTGCTTTTTAAGACCCAGAACTGGAATTCAAATCCATGGTCAGCCGTGTAGGTTCCAGCTCTCTTAAGCACTAGGCCGTGGGCAGACCCAGGAAAATACTTCCCGCAGAGTCCTCGGTGCTGTTTATAACAGCAGAGACCAGAAGCGACCCAAATGTCTGTTGACAGAGGTGGCATGTAAATAGCCTACCCATCAGTGCAGTGTCTACATAGACTTTATAACGTGCAAAGGCCTCTGCCACAATTTGTGGGCAAAATGAGAATACCACGTTGAATATTGGACCCAGCTCTTACAGTAAACTCTGTGAGCAGGGAAACCGGCAAAGGAATGCCTAGGTTATCAGCAGTGCTGCCTGGGTGGTGGGACAAGGGGGCATTTTTCTATTTTTTTTCTTTACGGGTTCATGGTTTTATAACAAAAACATGTATTTTTAAAAGAATTATTTTATTTAACTTCATTTATTTATTTTTATTTTTATTTGACCAGAGAGGAACAGAGTGAGAGAGAGGGAAAGTGAGAAAGAAAGCCTCCAGGTCTAGGACTTGAACCGCAGTCAGCCATGTGGAGTCCAGCGCCCTTAACCACCACGTCACCTGAAGGCCTCTAAAACATGTATTTTTAAGAAAAATAAACTAAACCATATCCCCGAGCCCCGCGTTCCCAGCACCCCTCTCGCCCTGCCTGCCTCCAGGGACCTGAGGTGCCCATGGCCTGCAGCCCCCTGGCTCTGCCTGCTGTGCCAGGGGACACCACAGAGCAGCATGAGCGCCACTTCCTGGACCCTGGCTGCCGCATCTGCACAGGTGGGGCGGGGTGTGGGGTGGTCGGCAGGCTGGGGCCAGCGGGGGATTCAGAGCAGCAGAGAGCTGTGGCCTGCGGAGATAGTGGCAGAGTGGGGTGTCCATGCCACAGGTCACCCTGAAAAGACCCTGGCTCCAGCCCTGGCTCTAAAAGCCTGCTCATTAGCCTCCCGGCCAGCTCCTGCCTGTGCTGTTTGCAGACTGGGAGCCCTCGAGGGGGCCGCCCGGCTCCTTCAGAGACACCAGGAGCAGGGAGGACTGCGTCTTCCAGAGAGCCCCAAGCCCAGCTCCCGTGTCCTCGCCAGAGAAGCCTAAAGCCAGGGAGACACCTCTCCCGCAGCCTCAGTGAGCGTGGAGGGCTGGGTGGGGCCAACCCAGCAGGGCTGGTGGGGCCAAGGGCACAGGCTGGGGAGCAGACCTTGCGTGGACCTGGGCCAGTGCTCCAGTCCCCACAGTGGGGACACAGGACCTGCTCTGAGCAGAAAGGAGGTGCCAGGAAGTCCGATGACCTTCTCTGGGCCCTGTCTCTGTCCTTCCAGGATCCAGATGCCCGCTGAGCCCACCAAGGCTCCGCCCAGCCCGCCGCTCTGGGAGGGCTCCCTGGACATGTTCTCCATCAAGCGCTTCCGGGTCAAGGCCCAGCTGGTCTCGGGACACAGCTGCCGGCTGGCCCAGGTACAGCTGCCTGGTCCGCAGCCCTTCCTGGCGCACTCCTGGCTCGATCTCCTGTGTGCGCTCAAACAAGGCCTGGGCGCCTCCCTGTACTGGGCCCGGGGGCACACGAGGTCACCCCCAATCTTTGTGCGGAGACCCGGGGTGACGAAGGATCCGTCACCAAAGGCGTGCAGCGGGAAGGTCCAGGCGAGAAGTCGAGCTCTCTGGCCAGAGGAGGGTCTTAGGAGTGACCGAGTGACCAGCTTAAGTGTTGGAAGAGGGTGGGGGCTTCTGGGAGGGCTGAAGAGGAGGCTGTAGGTTTCAGGGGGGCACTCAGCACTTTCCGGGTAGCCCCGAAGACCCTGCTAGACTCCCTGCCCACCTGTACCTCTGCCTCCCTGGGGCTGGGGTGGGACTGGCCAGCACCCGTCCTGCCCCCAGGCCCTGCCCGAGGTGATCCGCTCAGCAGGCTGCATCCCGCCCAGTGCTGTCTGGGACCTTCTGGCCAGCATCTGCCCAGCTGAGGCCAAGGTAACCGCCTACTCAGGGACCTCCTCTTCTAGCACCTGACCCCAGCCTTGCACTCCCCTCTGTCTCGAGCAGAGGCCTGGCCGGGGCAGCGGGTGTCACTCCTGTGACTGCTGTCCCACCATGTGATCTGGGCAAGTCTGTCTTCCCCTCTGGAAAACAGGGCCCACTTTCTCACGGGCTCCCAGAGGCCCAGGTGACACGGGGTGTGGGCAGAGCTCCTGAAGCTGCTGTCAACTGCAGGACACTTGTGTGCTCCAGCTGCGCCCGCACGGGGCTCGGGACACCCAGAACTGCCGCCTGCTCTACTCCTACCTCAACAGCAAGCAGCGGCACGGCCTGGCAGGCGTGGGCCACGCGGGCATTGTC